ATGCTCTTTTTTCCGCCTTAATAGTGAAAGCCGTTAAGTTTCTAAGAGATTTAAAGTAATCCCATTTAGCATCAGATCGATTCCTTCTATAGTCATCCTTTGCTTTATCCCTTAAAGAAATCATTAGCTTCAGGTTATCAGTAAGCCATGGAGGAGGACGTTTATGAACTTTACCCTTAATGAGTGGAGCAAAAACATTAAATGCATTAAGTAGTTGTTCATTAAAAAAATAAAGCTTATCATCAATGTTATTCATGGAGAAGATAAAATTGAATGGAATTTGCCGCAAGAAGTCGTGAAACTCACAAATATTTATTCTTTTTAAGTTTCTGTATAGTTTCCAAATCGGAGAGGAAACAGGCGTACAGAAGTCGATGTCACAAAAGACAATGTCGTGATCAGACACTTGACAGCTTCTAACCTCAGAATTCCGGACAAGAACTGTACTGAATGCAACAATTACATCAATCATTTTAGCAGTCGATGCAGTAACTCTTGTAGGTTCATTTATCAACTGCATAGCATCAAAAGAAGACAGTAAAGTCATAAAATCATTCCTATTAACACCATCTAAATCAAAAAAATCAATATTAAGATCCCCACAAAAGATTATCTCATCACTCTGCGGCAGGCAGGCAGCCAAAACGCTCTCAAGCTCATCCAAAAATATCCGACAGGGAAAGCTGGGAGGTCGATAGAGCACACCCAAAATGAGTTTACGTTTATTAATTTGCAGAGTTAACCACAACTGCTCAATATTAGCAGAAGTCTGAATTAAATAGCCACACTATAACCATCAATCCGAATGAACTCATCAGAAATATCAGCAGACAACCAAGTCTCAGACAAAGCAAAAACGTCATAGCGTCCGTCATCTATAATATTAATAACCTGATTCATTTTAGGAACCACAGATCTGACATTCAAATGAGCTAACATTAATATATAATATAATAAATGGTTATAAATGATAAATGGTTATTAGGTGTGATTTGTAAGCAGTTTCGTGTATTGTTTACGTATTGCAATTATAATTTTCAAACATTTTTTTGTTTTATCCCGAAAAAAGTTACATTTTGTAAAAAGTTACTAACATAAAAGTACCGTCAGAATAATAACAGGTACAATATTGAGATTGACGTAAAAATGAGCCAAGCGAATACAGATACGTTTTGGTACTTGAACAAAGCTTTGACTGATGAAGAACTTTTGGTTGAGGTTGAAAAAGTTTGTGTGAATTACAAAATATCCCGTTTGATAATTCTGAACAGACAGACATAGAAGATGAAGAAGATGACATTGTTAGTGAGACACCTTTGCTGGAAGATGAACATGAAGAAGAAAATAGTGAACAACTAACTAATCAAAATGAGGAAAGTGACACTGAAGTAGTAGAAATACGTGGCAAAAGGCCCAAGAAGAAGAACAAGGCAGAAATTGATAGAAAATTGACAAAACGGAAAAAACAGGTTATTGATACGATTATCCAGAAGGAATAATTGGTGATACTTTTGCAACTTGGAATAATCAAACAGATTATTTTCTAACACTGATGGATAACTATGTAAAAGATATTACCTTTCAAAGTCATTTGTACGCCACCCAAAGGAATAAAACGCTAAACTTGAAAGAAGAAAAGTTGCTGTGTTTTTTTGGCATAAATTTCTTAATGAGTTATCATAGTTAGCCAAGCTATAAACATTTCTGAAGTAATGCTGAAGGGTTGGGTGTACTACTTGCCATACGACCAATGACCCGTAACAGGTTTCAGAGGATTTTATCATATCTGGATGTCAACGATAACAGCATTATTCCTACGAACAATACGGATAAACTACACAAGATCCGTCCGTATCTTCAAACACTTAACGGTCAGTTATCCAGTTATCATCATGGAACTAAGCAGTTGGCTATGGATGAATCCATGATAATCTTCAAAGGGAGGTCAAGTATGAAACAATTCAATGCCATGAAGCCCATAAAAAGGGGTTATAAGCTCTGGTGCTTAGCAGATAAGAAAGGGTACATAAAGAAATTTGATGTGTATCAGGGAAAATCTCCTGAAAATGAAGAAGAATTATGGATTAGGTGAAAGGATTGTCCTGATTTATTTCGATAACTTTTTTACAAGTATCCGTCTTTTGGAAAAACTGAAAATTAAGAAAACCTTAGCTTGTGGATCAATAAGGTCTCACAAAAATGGTGCACCAAAAAAATTGATAGATGATAAACGAATGAAAAGAGAATATTATGATTACCGGATCTCAAATTTAGATATAAGTTATTACAAATGAAAGGACAATAAGTACGTGAAATTTTGCTCTAATTTTCATGGAACAGAAGAGACCACCGTAAAAAGGAAGGAAAAGAATGGAACGAAAATTGATGTGCGCTGTCCTTCAGTCGTTGATGATTACAATAAAAACATGGGTTCGGTAGATCATGCCGATCAACTTTGACTAGTGTATGCAATCGAACGCCGTACCAAGAAGTGGTGGCACGGGCTTTTCTTGCTGCGTCCATGAAAATGTCAGTTACCCAAAAGACGAACGTACGGCTATTCTGTTACTGACGGCGTAAAACTTGGGAACCGTGGTACGCAATGGATTACTTTTGGAAAAGAAAGAGGAAGGTGTGAAAATTGTTCTGCCAAAGCTATATTGAGTTCAGACTATATAAGTGTTACTTATTTTCTAACGTAATAAAAAATGTATTATTTTCATATTAGCAATAAAAGTTTTTGTATACTGCAACATCACTAAAATATATTTCAATGCCTGACAGTACTTTCAAATACCATTATCCCCCTGGAATGGGGGGATTGTCATATTTTGCTAAAATTGATTCCAAAGGCCTTTACTGAATGTATTTTGATAGCGTTTTAATTCTGTCACAAAGTTTCAAAATTTTTGTCTTCTTGGGACACAAAGGGTTAATAACATTTTATTAGTTTTTTTTTTTTAATATCAAGTTCAAAAAATCACTGTTTTTATCTTAAAACTTGTTCAAGTTTTGAGATGAAAATTTTTGATATTTTGGAACTTGTTATTAAAAAAAATTTTAAAGAGTAATGAGATTTATATTCAAACGAGCATTCAAATTCCCGCTCGTATTTATCGATCCACTACACTACCGCCATCAACATCGATTCAATTTATGTGAGAGAGAAAATACCATACGAAGTTTTGATTAGTTAAACAAGGATAGATAGGAGTGCCACTTTTATTAGCCGGAGTCCGGCCTCTGTATACTCTGTGGAATTGCAGTCGCTTACCAGACTCTAACCAGTTCACGTCGCAATCAAAAATTAAGTTAGATTTTATACATAAGTTTTTTAAGTACATTAAATAAAACGTTAAAATTCATCAAAAAGTGATTCATTCCATTTCAAACAAAATAAAGTAAGAAAATTGAATCAACACAATATGCTTAATGTAAAATAAATTACATATGATGAACAGTTTCTAGTCGGTGCAGCGAAAGAACTAATTAAAATTGATGAAACTATTGCATCTGAAGAGGAGGATCATTGAGTCCTTCAACTTGATAAATCAATCATAAAATTATCGAAAAATTTATTTTTGCATACATATTTTTTTATATGAAATAAAGAAATTATTTGCCTAAACAGTTGTAGTTCGGGCAGGAAATACCCAGGTTTACAGAGGAAGGGATAAGCATTTAATATTAAATAAAAATAGGAAAATATTTTTTTGTAAAAAGTAGTATTATTCATCTTCAATTTTCTTTTTAAAAATTTCGATATCTTACTTTTTCAAAAAGTTGTGATTTTTTTAGTAACTTGCTCTTATTAACTGAATTTCTTCATTTCTATAAAAAAATAAGTATGCAAAAATAAATGTTTCGATAATTTTATGATTGATTTATCAAGTTGAAGGTTTCGAACATTATCATGAATTGTTTATAAAATTTTTTGAGTGCATTAACAGGATGAAAAAACGGTCGGACCCGAAACACCCACTTTTACAAACGGAAGGTGCTAAAAAACCGTTTACAGACGAAGGAATTTGTTAACAACATTAATTGTAGAACACCACGCTTTGTACATGGAATTTTTTAACACTACTTTAAAACCAAAACATCACTTGTTAACCCATTATCATAGCATAATTGAAAGTAGTGGTCCACCAGTGCATTTTTCATGTATGAGGCAAAGCATAAAGAACTTAAAGATATAGCAAACTCAATAAGATCTAAATGCACTATACTCTTTAGCATTACGAATGCAACTAAAATTTATGAATGCTTCTACTGCAAAGCATTTGGTAGACACTTTTATTTGTGGACCAAAAAATTTTCAACGTAGAGAAGGGAATTCTTTTATATGGATAGAGATTAATGGCATACGATACTCAAACTGAATTAATTATAGACTATGATGAACAACGCGATCTTCCTCAGTTTGCCAAAGTAAAAAACATAATCTTAGATAATAGTAGCATTACTATTTTATGTGAGAAAATGATAACGTATGTAGTAAAGCCGGTTATAGATAAGTTAATCCATATAAATTTTGTTGAATTAAGTTCTCTACAGCCGACACTATTGCGAAATTTTACTAATAATAATATTTGAGTTTCAATGCCGTCTTTCTAATGGGTAAAATACGCATTATTTGTTTTGTTAAATATATAAATTATTTAAATAATTACTTCAAATGAAATAAATAAACTTTGTCACAATATTAAACTTATTTTTTTTATAGACTTGTACCTAATCGCAAAAATACTGTACTTGAGATAAGAACATAGCGGTTTATAGGGAATCTATAGATTCAATGGATTCGATATTTCACACATCGATTATAGAGCAAAGAAGTCGACATTTTGAGGGTAGTGTTGTATCTCTAAGTTGCTTCCGATACAACCGAAAGTAATTGAGACATACACTACCCTTAAAAGATTGATATCTTTGGCCTATATCGACGTGCCAAACATCAAATCCATTGCAGCTGCAGGTTCCCTATAAAATCCTATGTCTCACTTCCGTGGGACGCCTGCATTCTTGTTTCAAGATTATTAATATACTTATTGCAAGAAAATGGGATTATTGGTGCAACACTAAGATATTCTTGTTTCAAGATATTAATACACTTATTGCAAGAAAAAGGGATTGTTGACGCAACGCTAACATACTATTGCTTTAAGATAATTGATATATTTCGACGAAGAATTCGTTTTCTTGAGAATCAAGAATATTTGAATATGATATATAATAAATGAATGATGATATACAATAAATGAATAAGAATAAGAATATGATAAGCTTGAGCCAAGAGTAATAATGTTAATAATAATAATAAGAATATATTTCTCTCAGTGTAGCAAATGGTTAGAAAAATTTTCTTTTCAAATCTCAAACAAAGGGCCACCAGGAATACGATCCTGTTGAAATTAGATAGATTAGAGACCCCGAACAGGCCAAAATTTGTTAATGTTTGAAGAAAAACGATTTGCCCGGAACATAAGAAATGGTTAGGAAAATTTTCTTTTCGTATTTGAAACAAGAGGCGACCATGTCAGGCGAACATGTCCCGCAATATACGCAATTATACGCAACAGTTGCGTATAACAATGACATTTCCCAAGCAACAGGTTTTAACACCTTTAGAAGTAATCTTTGGACATACAAGAACTCGAAATCCAATGAATCTCCATTGTGACACACAGAATTTCCAAGATATGGTAGCAAAACATAAAGAACGAATGAAGATCCTCTATTCTCGTATTAGAAATAAAGATTTAGAAAGAAAACACAAGAACGTCAAAAGTAAAAGAAACAGAATTCAAAATTGATGAAAAAGTTTATGTAGAAAACATAACAAAATCTTTTAAACTATCAAGACCATTTCTAGAACCATTCACCATACAAAAGGATAATGAAAATAGAACAGTAGAAGTTGCTACTAAACGCAGCCCTCAAACTTATCATGTACGACGATTCATGACACGAAAATATGGTTTTGTTCCAGAGCCGTCCTTATAAGGACAATCCCAACGGAAGTCAAGATTTCGAAGCTAGAAGGACCGATATTTCCACTATATTTAGGAAAAGTAGAAAATCAAATCGGATCATGGACAATAGTTGCTCATTATGATGTGGAACCGCTACAAAAAGAAGATCAAAATATGAACACTCACTGCAATTCAATACTGAACATAATCACCAATATAAAAGAAAAGTAAAGAAAATTTTAGCCATACACAAGAATTAAGTGGACAATTATTATCAGCATTAAAGACCCATCAAGAAATGATGAATATAGGATTACGACAATTAATTCCAAAACCAAGAAATGTTAGCGCTATTAACCTAATAAGAAACGTTATAAAAGCTATATCAGGAAACCTTGATAACGAGGATGCAATCAGGTACGATAACGCAATAGAAACTCTGAATATAAATCAACAAAAACTATGGAAAGCAATGGAAATGTAAATGTCAATATCGGAACGAACATTTAAAGAATTTGAGAGAAACATTTAAACTTTAAATAAAAATCAATTAGTTATAAAATCCCTAATAATACAACTAGCAGCTGCGATACATGATGTATCTCTATTCGCAATGAAACAAGAAAGAAAAACGGATTTATATGCAATGATCCAAATAATAACGCAAGCTATGAATGCAGTAATCTGGTTAACTGATAAATTATTAATAGCAAAAACTTTTGCCAAAATGCAAATGTATCATCCAACGATTTTAACCAATGATGACTTCTTTAGGGAACTACAATTAATAGAACAACAACTGATAAACGTAAAATTGCCATTACCATTGAAAGAAGAAAATCTATATGCAATAGAAAAAGGATTAAAAATAAAAGTGTATAGAAAACGCACCATCTTTCGATTTCTAATTGATCTACCCCTATGCGAACTCGATACTTACCAATATTATCGTTTGTAACCTTTCAAAACGAAACCTTTTGGTAGCTGAACGTACAAAATCCATACCTAGCTGAAAATCAAAATAAGTACGTATCCATGGAACATGAATGTTTGAAAATCAAGGAAGAAACATTTTTATGCAACAAACACAGTACCAAGATATCCTCAAATTCTCCATGTGAATATCAGCTGTTGAAGCATATTTATACAGAAACTGGATGCTCAAGTTCAGCCAAAACAAAGAATCCAGCAGTCATTACGCAAGTAACCGACAATCAATGGTTGTTTTACGCATCAACGCAAGAACGAGTGATTACAAGATGTCATAAGAAGTCGGAAAATAGAATTTTAAATGGAAATTTGTTAATCCAGATAACCGATGGATGTGACCTGAAATCGAAACACGAAGTTATAAAATCGTACATCAGTAAGTTGCCCGATCGTAAATTCCAAATGATCAATATTGAAGTAAGAAACATTCCTGAAGAAATTTCGCACTGGAAACGCGAAGACTTGGAACTGCAAAGAATCCAATGGAATAACTTTAATAAGACAACTCAAGACTTAGAAGCTACCCAACAGGAACTTCAAGAAACATACGTCAAGAAATTCTTGGGATCAACAATAGCCACCCCATGCATCGTTGCTGTTGCGATTCTTGGAATAATTGCCTACATGAAGTACCGAGGCAAAAAAACGCCAAAAATGGAAACTCATGACGTCACTTTGCATCAGGCCGAAGATCCCAAAGACCCTTGGACACGAACTTTGATCGTAGGAGGGAGAAATTACAGCTCGCAGGTGGATCACAAAAATGATAAGAAAAAATAATTAGAAAAAATACAATGAGTTCAGTTCGTTGATGAATTTCTCAACGACCACATCGTAACATTAGAATAAAAAATTATTTTATAATCTTACAATCAATTTATACGTTTGTTTCATTTTGTATTTTGTAAATTTTAAAATAAAACTTTTTTAAAAACAAAATACGAGAGTGAAAACGTACTGGGATTCAAAATAAACCTCACCTATTCTAACATTCCTTCACGCTATGATCTTCGCGGTATAATTAGGGTTCAAAAGAAAACCGACATTCCTTCACGCTATAATTGGGATATAAAAGAAAACCGACATTTCTGCACGATATAATTGGAGGTCAAAACAAAACTGACCTAACCTAACATTTCTTCACGGTATAGTTAGGGTTCAAAAGAAAACTACCTTTCTTAACATTCACGCTATAATTGGAGTTCAAACCAGAACTGATTTGTTCTAACATTTCTTCACACTATAATGGCGGTTTCTTAGCGGTATAATTGGAGTTCAAAACAAAACTGACCTATCCTAACATTTCTTAGCTGTAAACTGATCTAACGTTGCTACACAAAGTAAAGCCGCGTTGACATGGGTTGTGAATCACGAACAAGAGGCACCCGCGTGGTAACACGAATCTAATTATTTCACGACTGTGGTCATGCCTCTTTTGTGAAACGGGTTTACACGGTAGGTATTTGCTTCAGTCGCGAATATGCAGTGCTTGGTGGCAGAAGCATGTCAAGTTTTGTGTGGTGTGATAGCAGACAGGATTTCACAAAATTTGGCAAGAAAAAGAAAGAAAAGACGATGGTGGACAAGGAAATGGATTCTACAAAGAAGTCATACTAGTTTAATGAAAGACATCTCCAAGTACCCTGAAGATTTTAAAAATTTGCTTAGAATGTCGGAACACCATTTTAATTATTTATTGGAACTCGTTAGCCCCAAAATTCAAAGAAAATCCACTAATATGAGAGAAGCTCTATCGGCCAAATTGAAACTGCAAATAACACTTCGATATTTAGCTACTGGAGACTCTTTTAAAAGTTTAGAATATTTATTTAGAGTACCCAAATCATCGATAAGTAAATTTATAGAAGAAGTTTTAGATGCAGTGTGTGATGCTCTAAAAGAATTTATCAAGGTAAGTAAAAACGTTATTTAATTCCAAACGGTATTCTTATTATTGGTATGGCAACTAGACTTTCCTCTAAATTCTCGTATAGTTTTCGTAGGCTCATGGGGGGCACATTTAAACTATAAAATATTTTAAACAGAAAGGTAATAAAAAGTCATGGTTTGCAAAACATATATTTCCCAAAGCAAATACATAGAAGTATTTGTATGTTTATTTGTAAGTACATTTGCTAATTGCGCATGGCCGAAGTTAACTCAGAGATCAAATCATCATGTATATCTTCTGCAGCTGAAAAAACAGAATCTTGAGTCCAGTTTTGAATATTTTCAATCGATGGTGGTCCACTTTGAATACTTTCCGAGTTTGTAGTCGAATTTGTAATGAAATTTGAGTTCTGTGAGTACGCGCTGGAGAGTATTGAATATGTGGGAATTGTCGGTTACAAAATCATAGAAACTAGTAGAGTTCGTAAAAGAGAAGCAATATATTTTCCAAAATGATCGAAACAATCTTCTTTTGATACACTGGCATTAGCAGCTCTTTTAGAAATATCATCTAGTTTGTCTATCGCAGAATTAATGTCACCAGCAGGTGTCGAATATAGCTTCTTTTTAAGGGGTGTTGTTGTAGAAGTGTGTTGAAACTTTCTTTTTAAAGAGTCGTTTTGGCATTGCGTTTCTTTAGATGTGGATGGTTGTTCTTCGTTCAATTGTTGAGATGCTATTGCATTATCTTCAGGTGAATCTGGCTTTTCATTTATCAATACAGTAATATCCTATAACAAGAAAAAAATTATATAGGCCCACCCTTTTGTAATTTACCATTTTTCTGATTATAAATATATTATATACATTAATATGTTTTTAGGTGCCCAGTGAAGAAAATCAATGGCTAGATATAATTAATGGATTTCAAACTAAGTGGAACTTCCCAAATTGCATTGGGACAGTAGATGGCAAACATATAGTTATAAGAGCGCCGCATAAAACTGGGTCCGATTATTTCAATTATAAACAATCGTTCAGCATAATTTTGCTTGCCTTAGTTGATCATAATTATTGTTTCACATATATGGATATAGGAGCTAAAGGCAGGGCATCAGATGGGGGTGTGTGGCGAAACTGTAGCCTCAATGAAGCTATGGAGGCAAACATACTGAATATACCTCCAAACGCAGTTATTGTTGCTGATGATGCATTTCCTTTAACAACATCTCTACTCAAACCATACAGTAAACGAAAATTATCCAGAGCTGAACGTATTTTCAATTATAGGCTGTCCAGAGTAAGACGTATTTCTGAAAATGCATTTGGTATACTAGCATCAAAATTTAGAATATTTGAAAGGAAATTGCCGTAGATTTACAAAAAGTTGATAAAATTGTAAAAACCTGCTGCTCAATACATAACTGGCTTCGAAAAATTGGTAACTGTTATGCGCCAGCTAACCTAATTGATTCTGAAGACGAAAACTACAAAGTAATTCCGGGAACTTGGCGGCAAATAAGCAGTTCTGGTCTTATAGACATTACTGCGACACATGATAGACACCCGAACAGATCAGCATTGGTAAAAAGAGATGAATATTGCAACTACTTCAACCATGAGGGAGCAGTTCCTTGGCAATGGCAAATTGTTGAGGAGTAAAAAAAGTACCACATTACATTCTCAAAATGTGTAAGGAAATGATATACTGGCTAGATTTAGTAATATATACATATATATATATATTTTTTTTTACTTATAAATTAAAATAAACACTTACCAAGTTTGATTGGGTTTCTCTTGCTTTTACGTGCGGCTTGAGAAAAGAATCAATTATTTTGAACCATCTCACTTTGGCAGTATAAACTTCATCAGAACAACACCCGGACTTCATATTCTGCCTAATCTTTTTTATTTCTTGCAAATAGGAGCTACGTAAATTTTTAAATTTCATTATTACATGGATTTCTGTAAAACCATCGATTTCCATTGCATTTGCAATACTTCTTGCTGCAGCTGCACGAGACTCTCGTTTTTTATAGTCCTCCCTGGTCGGATCCCACAAAACTGGCTCATTTTGATATAGTTCCAGAAATTTATTGGTGTCTGCGCATCGTTCATTCTTAAAATATGAGCAGCCATAATTTAACAATTTACTGTCCACCTGCTCTGCTCACGGCTGACCACACGATACAAAAATCAAACAGGTTTAATATTTTCACGATCCGAATTATTTCCGTTCGTGAAAAGTATTTACGCTTCGTATTTCACGAATCTAGTAGTTGACACGGAGCGTAGCTTACGAAAGCGTAGCTCACGTACGTGATTCACTACCCATGTCAACGCGGCTTAAGTTTAAAGAATTAGTGAAGAATGCGATTCAAGGAAATTACTCCAGAAATGCTTGGAATTTCGCTTTAATATTTTAATATCACATTTTTAAGCTGTTTAAGAAACTTTTTGTGACAAAAAAAATTTTTTTTAGTTTGTCAAGATTCTAAATTTGGGGTCCTCCCCCCAAATTAAGGAAAAAATTGAATTTGTGAAATATCCTAAAAACACTTCACGTCTACTTTCGAAACGTTATTTTTAATAGATAACAATGTGTTTAAGTATTTGTTTATTTCAGTTTTGAGGGAATTAAGAAAATATTGACAAAATCTTAAATTTGGACGGAAACACTCAAAAAATAGTGGAGTATAAGTGTTTATATGTTGACACAGACGTCATGTGGCGCAACTATTTGTTATTGAAACACTTGAAAAGTCAACTTTTTTTTTTAAATAGATGCATTTTTAGATCACCATTTAGTATATAAGAATACCAGAAAATTCTAAGATACATCAGTCACCAAGGCAGATTACTACATTCAACAAGGTAAGCCAAATACCAATTTTCTAAATCTGTCTAAATTTTAATCATCTCTTTACAGATGAAATTAATTTTGGTTCTATTCGCCGTTGTGGCCGCTATATCAGCCATACCAACGGCTAACAGAGATCTTCAATCCGATCTCGAATATATTGTTTCGACAATTCCATTATCTGAAATCAGAGCTATTGCTCGTAGATACGCCGAAACTGATGCTGAATTCCAAGAAGTAGTCAGATATTTGCAGGGACCAGAATGGGCCAGTTTAGTTGACGCCGTTGCTCAGCACGAGACGTGGCAAAAATTCAAAGCGTTCATGGCGAACGCTGGAGTTGATATCGACGGAGTCATTCAATACCTTCACGACCTCATCGCTGGTGTAATCCTTCCCAAAAACACTAACCAACGTAGCGTAAGGGATTTCGTTGATGAAGTTCTTGCAATTGTTGATCTCCAAGCTATTATTGCCGCTCTCAATGATAAACTAAATAACAGTCCAGATTTCCAAGAATTCTTCGGCAAAATTAGCAGTCACGAAGCTTACTTAATGGTTGAAGATATCCGAGCAATGGATGAAGTTCAACGCATTGCAGGACGTCTCCGTGAGATGGGTATTGATGTTGATAAAGTTGTTGATCTTGTTTATGGGCTTTTGGGGTGGAACAAAATACAAATCTACATGGAAATGGAAATGTTACAAGTTATTAAATATATGCAACAAAGTAAATCCCAAAAAGCTTGTATTTGTTTGTTTGGACATTGTTGGGGTCATTGTCCAGAAGAGTCACAAGAAGATAAACGTGTACAACAAGGTGAATCCCCAAAAGCTTGTATTTGTATGTTTGGAGGATGTTGGGGTAGTTGCCCAGAAATGTCACAAGAAGATAAACGTGTACGACTAGGTGAATCCCCAAAAGCTTGTATTTGTCTGTTTGGAAGTTGTTGGGGTACTTGCCCAGAAGAGTCACAAGAAGATAAACGTGTACAACAAGGTGAATCCCCAAAAGCTTGTATTTGTATATTTGGAAGTTGTTGGGGTACTTGCCCAGAAGAGTCACAATAAGATAAACTTTTACAACAACGTAAACCCCCAAAAGCTTGTGTTTTTTGTGTGTTTGGATATTATTGGGGTAATTGCATAGAAGATTAACATATATAACAAGGTAAATCCCCAAAAGTTTGGGAGCTGTTGGGGAACTTGCCCATAAGGAATGATTTTAATAGTATTTAGTTATCGATTACTGTATCATATGATTTATACATATTCATTGTGTACCTACAATATTCAAAATAATTAAAATAAAAGCAGTAATATAACAAAATAGTAATGAATTGTTCATTTATTCTTATCTACACCTGGAATTTCGTATACAGTGCTGTGCGAAATAATAGGTGCAAGTTTATTTATGTATTTTTATAATAAAAAATTAAAATATATTATTAATCTCATAAAGAGTAGAATCACTTGGGTTTAGCCGCACGTCTCTAAAGACGCGTCAACCCGAATGATTCTAGTTCTTGGTCTAGCGCTGCATAACAATTAAAACTAGAAGTAACACTAGTCCTAGAACTAGAAAGTTTCGGGATTACACTAGCACTGTTATTATGGAGAACTAACACTATAGCTAGAACTAGAATTATTTGGGTTGACAGTAAAACCATTGCATTTTTATCGGGTGTTTGACTTTTCACTTTGTTTACATCATTATCGGACATATTAATTTGTCGAAATTGCAAGCAAAATGTAAAATTTGAACAAACTGGAATTCGAGGCCTTGGTTTCAAACATGTTGTCAAATGTAACTGTGGATCTAGACATATCAATTCAGGTCCTCTAATAAATACTGGATTTGAGATAAATCGCAGAATGGTGTTCGTCATGTTAGGCGATGGTAGACAAGAGTTAAATTTGTTCTGCAATTATATGGTATTCACAACTATGTTGCTGCGAAGACAGTTTTTGATTATTGCTGTAAAAAAGCTATCGAAGATGAGACAAAAGAAAATGAAAAAATAGAAAGACCTATTTTGAATTTCAAAGTCTTTGTTCGGTGTAACAACTCTCATAGTGCATTACTGTGGAAAAGTCATCGAGCTAGATGTGCGAAGCAGTTACTGTCATGCTTGTGCAAAATGGCAGAATAAGTCCAAGAATTCGCGAGAATATTTAGAGTGGAAAGACGACCATAACGACGAAGATTGTTCAAAATATCACGAATGTTCTACAGCAGAGGGGTCCAAACTATGGCCCGGCAGGCGATTTTATCCGGCCCGCCAAGGATTTTGAAAAATTTCGTAAAATATAAATGTAGCGTGGCGCGTCGGTATTAGATCTCGCGCAGATGAAGAGCGCATTCGGTTAGAATGAGCACGGTATCACGCTCGAAAAAGTACAGTCTGGTATTCAAGTTTTTTCGGTAGTCGGCGATGCGACTCGGAAGCTCGACAACATGAATGATTTTGTACTCTGACTGTACGTAGGCGGCGCGGAGCGGCAGACTGCACTCAACTGCAGTACGTACCTGCAAAGCTACGAGATTGTCCACGACAAACCAAAAATTCGTCGGCCGCGGAGCTTATTTACATTCTTAAGGCTAGGCGCACATAAGGACCCAGGCGACACAGGCAACGCAGCGCAGTACAGGGTAGAAATCTGTGTACAGTACATTTTGACGTGAAATCGCATATTACAACGCAATACAGGGTAGAACAGTAACTTGCGAGACAGAAACGTGTGGCGCAGTAAACGATACACAGATTTTAGCGACACGTGAGGGATTTGTAATGTTTATGATCTTAATATTTAAGGTTATGTAAGTAGTGGTCAATAGTGAAAATGAGTATCAGCGAAAAATTAATAGAAATGGTACGGAACTATGATGTATTATATAATACAAATAACCCTGACTATATGAAAATTAAACTTAAAGATGAAATTTGGGTAAATATTGCAAGAGAATTAAAACTAAACAATGGTAAGTATGAAAATAGTTTATTTAAAGTAACTTTATATGTTCTTTTTGTAAATGTGTTTAATATTTTCCTCGTAATATGCTATCTCTTTGCCACTGTACAGCACCTGTAGTATTGAAATAGTGTGTATAATTTTCACGTACTAAGAAAGCATTTCTTGAATTTCGCGAGTTATTATAGCGTATTGAAGTTAGTTGGTCGGAGAGGAGTTCTTCATCAGCAATATCCTCCACATTTGTAGCAGTACTAGTCATTCTAAGGTAATTGTGTAAAACGCATGCTGCCTTAACAACATTATCAACACTAGCAAGTTTGATTTCAAATGGTTTTCTAAAAACATGAAATCGCCCAGCTAGTATCCCAAATGCACATTCTACTGTTTGTCGTGCGCGCGATAATCTATAATTGAATACCTTATTTTCATAATTCGCTGTAACTTTTCTTTTGGGGTAAGGTCTCATTAAATTTTCTAGTAATGGAAAAGCCTCGTCCCCCACAAAAACATAAGGCAATTCTTTTTCACCACCGCTAATCATATCTGGTTCCGGAAGCTTAAGAGTTTTGTTTTGTATTTTCTTGTATAGTATGCTGCTAGAAAATATATTCCCATCACTAAATCGTCCCATTGACCCGATATCTACCGTAATAAATTTATAGTTTGCGTCTACAGTTGCCATTAGTACTATAGAACAAGTATGTTTATAATTAAAATAAGAAGATCCACTTTTGGCCGGTTTCTTGACCACTATGTGTTTGCCATCGATCGATCCCACACAATGTGGAAATTGCCATCTTTGCTCAAACTCCTTTGCAATTTGTTTCCACAGTTCTTCTGTGGGGTCCGGTAAGAAAGTTTGTTGCAGGCATTCCCATATAGCCGCTGATACTTCATTCACAATCTTAGATACTGTGCGATCTCCTAATCTATAGCTATATCCAATACTTTTATAACTATTCCCTGACGCCAAATATCTGAAATATAAAAGTATTCAATAGCGTACCTTTATTTAACAGGTGAAGAAGCGAAAGATGCTTGGACAAAATTACGTAATTGTCACCGTGACGCCTTAAGAAGGCAGAAGAACGGACAACCGAAAAGCGGTGCTGGAGGAGGTAAAAGTGTCAAACTATGGAAATATCAAAAACAGATGGAATTTTTGTTGGCACACATGCAAAATGT